CATTCATTGAAGATAACTTACGTATATCTAGGTTCAATAGCAAATACATAAATTGGGCTTATTTCACTGTTTGAACATTACATAATGGAACGGTAGGAACGTTATTGGCAAAGTTAGCCCTTGGTCCTTGAGTCTGGCTAAGAAAGAATTCAGAGGCAAGATACAAGTGAAAGTTTATCTAGAAAGACAAAATAGGTAGATGTGAGTTATAGATGGAGTGGGCCAGCTGGGCTGCATGTACTCAGGAAACAAGCTACAGAGGCAAAAGAAGGGCCCTTGGAGCTGAGTAGAAATAAAGGGAAAGAAAAGGCACCTGAGGGAAGGAATGTTGGGGGGTGTGGGGTATGCTCCACAGAGAGCTCCCCAAGGGACACAAGGGGTTAGGGAAACCTTGGGCCTGTTCAAGAGAGAAAGAGAGTTCATGCTGAGTCCTTCATCTTAAGGGCTTTTATCTGGTTTCCAAAGTCAGGGATTTTAAGAGAGGTCTCAGGGGAGGATGTCAATAGAATATTCATCAGCTTTCCAGGAGTGTCCTTCAGGGTCCTGGTCCCTACTAATCGGTGAGTGCTAGGGTAAGGGGTCATTAGTCATTGCAGCTAGTCCTGATGTCAGCCATGGCGTCCCTTCATTTGGTTTTGCTGCTTTTCTGAGCATGGAGCTAACGTATAACTGGCTTTTCTGGGCATGGAGCTAAAACATAACTGAGGCTCAGATGTTATCTCTAGTTTGACCAAAACTCTATTTCTGTGGTTAACAGACCTGAGGCTTTGTCCTTAAAATTATTTGATATGGGCCAGAACCTTATTGTACTAAGGGCTTAAATCTTAAGGGCAAGGACTTGCATGGGAGTTTTTAGAGTCTATTCTCTGCCCCCCTCCCCCCCGCCTTGTTCCTCCTTTAAGGGGGTCTACTACATGACCAGTGACAGACCATGATAGGAAAGGTTAGGGGAGGGTCTGAACCTCATACCAGCCGTATGAAAGGCCAGGTGGGGCTGAACCATGTGATGACGTATAAGCTAGGGGAGGAAAGACCACTTGGGGGCAAGGTCCCACCCTATAATACTTACTTTCCCAGTTTTCCCCATTGCTAGGCACCTGAAGCTTTCTACCCTGGTGAAATCTGTACCTGGCCTACCATTCCTACTTTGCTCATGTTTGTCTAACTGCCAGGTAGTAGTTTAAAATTTGGTGAGTGTTTTTTTAACAAACTTCATTAATTCTATCCATTAATTTAACAAATATTTGTCATAAGAAAGAACCCTTCTGCAGTTGCAAAGCATTGTTTTTATCTGTCACTCAGAGTTTTTAAAACCTCCAATAGCTTTCCATATCACTTTGAATGAAATCTGAAGTTGTCACATGGTTTGACAATATCCAGTGGTACCTCTACACTACCACATCTTTGATATAACTTCCTTCTGACATATCTCCATTGCGAAGCTCCAGCGATGTACCTTGATCAAGCTCTCCCCTCAGCCTTTGCAGTTCCCTTTGCCAGGAAGGCTCTTCTTGCAGATATCACATGCCTCATTTTTACCTCTTTTTGGTCTTGAATCAACTTAACCAAAAAGGCCTTTCCTGCCACACTATTTAAAACCCTCATCTCCTCTTCCTCAGTACTACTTACACTCCTTTCCTGCTTAATTTTTCTCCCATTGCACTTGTTTGCTTGTTTATATATCTGTGTTTATTGTCGATCTTTCCCTATAGACTAAAAGACTCAGGAGGGCAGGGCTTGTATCTGTTTTGTTTATACCTGTATTCTCAACTCTTGGAACCATGACTAGGTGACTCTTAAATAAATATCTGATGTAGGGCGCGGCTATAGGGTTAAGCCTCGGACTGACCTGTTGGCAAAGCCACAAACAAGTCCCAGCTTAGAGGGCACAGTCCTCTTAGCATAATTAGGCTTGACTGCTGCTTGGATGGGTCTGTAAAAATCACTCTTCTTCTGCTAGACATTTTCTATAAGCTTTCAGTCCTTTTCCTGAATAATCAGAGTTAAATTACGTCTGGCAATAGGATCTGGGTCTATGACTTTGACCACTTCTAAGACACATGTCTTAAGAGCTTATTAAGAGCTATATTTTCCTCAATACAAATTTCTTTGAGCTAATTCAGGGGTGGGCAAACTTTTTGACTCGAGGGCCACAATGGGTTCTTAAACTGGACCGGAGGGCCGGAACAAAAGCATGGATGGAGTGTTTGTGTGAACTAATATAAATTCAAAGTAAACATCATTACATAAAAGGGTACGGTCTTTTTTTTTTTTAGTTTTATTCATTTCAAACGGGCCGAATCCGGCCCGCGGGCCATATTTTGCCCATGGCTGACCTAGACCCAGCTTATTCTCTTTGTCTGTCATTTCTTCATCCTTCACCGCCCTCACTCAGGATTTCGAACCCTTGGCTGAGCTGGCTCGGCACAATCTATATATATGAAAGCCTAAGTGACTGGCCTACCAGCCAGTAGCTATGACATGCACCGACCACCAGCGGGAAGATGCTCAATGCAGGAGCAGAAACCACAGGCATGGAAACATGGAACAGACTGATGAATCTCAGAGGGAAAGGGGGGGGGTGGCAGGAATAAATTAACCAAATATCTTATTTGCATACTAGAGGTCAGGTGCACAAATACCTAGGCCTGGCCTGCACCTCTTGCAATCTGGGACCCCTGGGGGATGTTGGAGAGCCAGTTTCGGCTCTATGCCCCCAGGTCAGGCCGAGAGACCCCACCCAGGCCTCTAGTTTGTTTAATAAATGGGTAAAGGAATGAACGGGTGGTTAAATTCATGAGAGTATCTAGGAGAGAATGAGCCAAGTAGCACAAGTTCAAAGGATCAAATGTAGGACTTCCCATGTGTTTGAAGGCTAGAAACAAGGGTCCATGAACACTAGGATGAGTGGTGTGAAATAAGGGCAGGGCGGTAAGCAAAGGCCAGGGCTTATAGAGCTCTATTGCTATAACCATTTTTGGATTTCACTTTAGTACAGTAGAAATTCTTTGTAAGAAGGAAAGTAATGAGGACTAATTTGTATTTTAAAAGCTCACCATGAATACTGTGCAGAGAGTTAATTATATAAAAGCAAGAATGAAACCACTGCAGATGATAAGCTGAGAAAGGATGATGACTTTTATGAACAGAACAGTAGGGGATGGATTCTGATATGCTGTTGGAAGGCTTTTAAGAGTCGCCGAGGAGTGAGGACACTAGTTTTGCTGGGGTCAGGCTCTGTTATGATCATTCACTCTTTCAACACATAATTGAAATGAAAAATTGAAATGGATAATTTTGCTAGGCATTGCAGAGGATGCAGAGATGGCTTACATTCAGTTTGTTTTATATGATAGCATTGGCTTTGTTTTGAAAGAGTCATTTCCTCCTTGGCAATTTGGTTATATTTACAGTAAAATATTGCTAGATGGAAAGAGAAAGAGAATTAACATTTACGGGTGACCTAAGTGATATCAGGAATAGGTGCTTTCTATGCATTATCTTATTTAATCTTTCTACCAATCCTGACAAACGAGATGACTGAGTTAAAGACAGATGAACTAATTTTTTTAAAGAACAGGCAAATATGTAGTGGTTGAGAAGAAATTCATATTTTCTGGTTCAAAATACCCTGATTTTTCAATATCACAATGGCCATGACTTCATAAGGTAATCTGAACACTCGTTCCCTTGATACTAATTTGGAAAATGTTTACACACATACACATATATATACTATCAATGATATAGAAAACAAACTTTTAATTGAAATGGTATATCTTTAAAAAGAGTTATAGATAATTCATGAATGTGTTTTTAAGGAACTTAATGCCTTAGGCATAATTTCATATTATTCTCAGTTTTTAATTATTCTTAGTCATTATATAGTTTAACCTCATCTTTAACTTTAAGCATACATAGACTATTTCTTTCAACTTACCTTGGATAGGCTTATATTTCAAGTTAAAAACATTTCCTGTGGCATGCTTCTAATGATCTAAAGGCCAGAATTAAACAGTTGGTATTGCTTATAATCCTGAGAGGAAAAATGATTCTAAAACTAACTTTTCTTAAAATTAATCAGAACAAGGTTGATTTTGTCTTTTCAGCACTCTGTTTTTGACCTAAAATACACTATGAAAATAATTCCCCAAAAACAAAAAATGGTCATTAGTTTCCTCCTTCATCCATTCCTAATTCTTCTGATTTCCTTGCTAGGAGACTATCAAAAGAAAGAAATCTCTTCTAGCCCTAGCCAATTTGGCTCAGTGGATAGAGTATAGGTCTGAGGACCAAAGGGTCTTGGATTTTATTTTGGTCAAGGGCATATACCACAGTTGCAGGCTCCTCCATGGCTCAGGCCCTGGTTGGGGCTCCTGCAGGAGGCAACCAATCGATGTGTTTCTCTTACATCAATGTTTCTGTCTCTCTTCCACTATCCCTAAAAATCAATGGAAATATATTCTGGGGTGAGGATTAACAGCACACACACACACACACACACACACACACACACACACACACACACACACACACACACATCTCTTCTAATAACACTACTTTATCTATTGAGTTGTGTCCCTTCCCATACACACAAAAGAGACATGTTGAAGTACCTCAGAATGTGCCTTATTTGGTAAGAGTTATTGCAGGGGTAATTAGTTAAGATGAGGTCCTACTAGAATAGGGTGGGGCCCTACTCCAATTTGATTGATGCCATTATAAGATGGCCATGTGAGTAGACATTCAGGAGAAAGTCCTTGTCCGATGATTGGAGCTACGCACTACAAACCAGGGAACACCAAAGATTGGCAGTGAATCACCAGAAGCCAGAAGAAAACAAACAAACAAAAAATAGCAAAGAGTCCCTCTGTTGCAGTCCCATGAAAGATATAAAAGATACATAAATCAATGCAATTTTAGCTAAGATGTAATACATCCAGAAGAAATGCATCATAATAGGAAAAATGAGATCTGAATCCAGAGCTGTGTGTTTTCAGCTTTCATTGAGGTTTAATACTTTATTTCTTCTTCCTTCCCGCCATCCTAAGGGTGGTAAGTCCTTCCATTGTTTCCAGGCCCTGGTGCCTCATCATGCTTGTTTGTTCCTTTAACTATGACAACACCTTTGTCAATTTGATGCCTTTGTAATAACCTGGTTATTATTGAACAGAAAAGAGGCAAAAAGGGAGACCAAGTAATATAGGCATGCCACTAATACAGCTTTGCCAAAAGCTACATTTAACATTGTCCAAGTCTGTTACCTGCTAATTGATGAGGAAAGGGACTAGACAAAGGCCGTTTAGATGCATGCCCCTAAGGTCTGAGTGAGGTGGCAAAATGCTTGCCCATCAATCACACATGGAAACAGACAATTGGCTGGGTGGGCGTGGCCACTGCAAGCACTCAAAATCTAAATATATAAACAAAGGAGCCACTGTCTCTTGACTCCAGGGCACCTGGCTCCTGTGACCCCTGTGCCCACATGGCTCAGGGACTCTGTAACATGGACTAACAGACTTTAATCTGGCCCCAATGTGAGCCTCACCCAGCTGCGACATGGAATGGAAGCTCTGAACACTGGCCTTGCTTCTGGCTCTGCTGATCTCTCAGCTGCCCCTCTTTCAGGACTGACTTGGGGGAAATGGGACATTGGAACCAGATAACTGTAACTCCAACAAAATCTTCCCCATACCATCCTCCTGTGGGGGCTTCTGAGGAGGGCAGAGCAGATGGATATAAGGAAGACATTTATTTGATACCCTGTTTTTTTTTTCTTTCTAAACTTTTTTGATTATTCTAGAGAAGAATATATATATATATATATATTCATTCTAAGTTTTAGGGCTGTATGAGCTTACCTCCTGCCAATAGATCTATCAACCTCTATTGTCAACAGAACTAGAAGTTCTCACTCTCACTTGAGCCTCAGTCCTGAAAGTGTCCATGGAAAGTAGGTTAGGGAAGTACTGTAGCCTGGGAAAAGAGTTGGATAAAGAAAAAGGTAGGAAATTTAGATTTAAAAGGATGCAGGCGCTAGGAAGAAGGGGAAATAGAAGTTTGATAAAAAAAAAAATAGAATGGTGCCCAGCTGGCTTGGTTCAGTGGTTGAGCATCCACCTAAGAACCAGGAGGTCATGGTCACTTCCCAGTCAGGTCATATGCCCAGGTTGAGGGCTAAATCCCTAATGTGGGGCGTGCAGGAGGCAGCCAATCAATAATTCTCTCTCATCATTGATGTTTCTATCTCTCTCTTTCTCCCTCACCCTTCTTTTCTGAAATGAATAAAAATATATTTTAAAAAACAGAATGGTAGATGATACTCTCAGGTAGTTCAAGGGGCAAAAAGAGATATCCTATAGTGAAAGGGTCACTGTGGCCTTATCCTGGGGTTTAGTGCAATGGAAATACAGAATTCACAAAGGAGGCTGACTAGATTAGTCATAACAAAACTCTCCAAATATCCAACTCTCAAAGATCTAACCACATTGTGAGAGAATAAGATTGAGAATTTAGTTGTTGAATAAAAAACATTTCCAGTTTCCCCATATTTGTACTCACTTGGTAAAATGAAAGGACTCACTGACAAACCTTCTGATCCCCAGTAAAAACACCAGTGATATAGTCAGAAATATGGTGAGAAGAGTCACCTCTCAGAATAATCCACAAGGCTGACTCATTGAAGGCCTTTTTATTTTGCCCTAAGGATGCGATAGACACCACAGTGCGATTCAAGAAATGGGAGATGAGGAACCTAGTACCTGGTTTCTGAGACAGATGAAACCCAGGGCTCAGAGATAACTTGGTCAGGATCACTCAGCTAGGGAGTGGTAAAAAGTACCATCCTCTCTCACTCCAACTGGGACAACTTCCACACTGCCTCTCCATGTGGAGAGGGGCATTAAAGATGTCAGTGCTGTGTAATTACCCCTTTTCCCCATGTTAGCATATTGTGAATTTAGCCATTTAGTCTCAGGTACCGATAGAATTAGCACAGGTTAGTGTTGTATAAGTCTACCTTTAAAAAAATATTATTGAACATATTGGGGTGACACGGATTAATAAAATTATATAGGCTTCAGGTGTGCAATTCTGTAATACATCATCTGTATATTGTATTGTGTTCACCACTCCAAGTCAAGTCTCCTTCTATCACCATTTATGGCCCCCTTTATTTTCTTCTACTTCTCCCCACCCCTGTTTTCCTTCTGGTATAAGTTTAATCTTTTATGGCATTTCACTTTACAAACCAAAATGTGACTGTTATTTTAAGTTGTCATCAGGGAAAAAGTGGATACCACTGGCATATAAAAGCAAGTTTCCATTATTCCACTGGTTGAAATTTATCCTAAGCAAACAGACATTAAAATCAGAAGTACATTTGAAGGAATAAATAAAATTTAAAAATTTTTAGCCTGCAGGTTTAATTTTAATAAAAGTACATTTTATTATAGATAATAAAATGACTCACATTTTATATGTTCTAATAAAAAATTGTAAGGCATTGTAGTTCAAAATGCTTGTTGGAAATTAATGATTGGCCTTTAGCATTTTCCACTAATTTTCCGTCTTCTAAAAATTTGAAGGTAAGTATTTTGTCTGAATCAAGCATCTCTTGTACCACTATATATTTAAAGTGCAGAATAGTTATAAAAATGATTTAATAATCTCCAATTTTGTACTCAGAACCCTCTTTAACAGACAAAGAAATAATCTGGAAGGAGATATTATGGGCTAAATTGTGCCCCACTCCTCAAATTCATATGTTGAAACCCTAACCTAAGTACCTCAGAATGTGCCTATTTTGAGGTAGGGCCTTTACAAAGGTAATTGTCATAAAACAAGGCTGTTGTGATGCACACTAATCCAATCTGACTGGTGTCTTCATAAGAAGAGGAGATTAAAACATACAGAGACACCAGAGGTGCCTATACATTTCTATTGTTTCAGCCATCCAGGATGTGATATGTTGTTATGGCAGCCAGAGCAAACTAATACACTCAGTATGCATGTAATTACTTTTCATAGACTACATGAAGAATGTGATAATCTGGCTAACTTAAAGACAAAAATATAGTATCATTCATAGGAAGATTCTTAATTTTTTTAACAATTTAAAGGTAATATAATACAAACAAATTGCTGTTACCACAATGCTAAGAGCTTCAAGAATTTATGTCCTCATAAGGAAAGTCAATTATCATAGAAGGTATTTTTTTAATCAAAATATAGTAGAAAATGTGTATTGGTTTTATTTAGATTTCTAAACAGTACATTTCAAAGCTATAAATAACATTGAATCCTAAATCATTTATGAATGATATAATGATGGGATAATCCTCTAAAATACTCATGTGATTATGTGGTACCTATTTATTGAGTACATCTGATGAGATATCATAATAAACAGCTGTACTTTCAATATGGTAAGCTTTAGTTAGATGTGGCTATTTACATTTAATTGATTCAAAATAAATAAATTTAAAATTTCATTTCTCAGTTGTACTAGTCACATGTACTTAATAGCCACATGTGGCTAGTGGCTACATTATTGGATCTGTACATACTGGGTAGGACAAAAGTAGGTTTACAGTTGTTCATATGGAAAATAATATAAAAATTAATAAATAATATAAGAACAAACTCCTACTCATAACTGTAAGCCTACTTTTGCCCTCCCTACCCCTGAATAGAACATTTCTATCATTGCCATCAGTTCTGTGTTCATGCCTGGGTTTTCCATTTACTAGTCATTCTATTTATGTAACTCAATTACTTTATTTGCACAGAGGGAGCCATGAGTAAGCCATTTCTCAAAAGGTTATTATGAGGATTTAATGGGGTGGCACCTATGAAGGTCAGTTGTAACTTGAAAAATGTCGTGTATATAATAAGCATTATGCGATGCTGCAAGAATGCAGTCAGGTGGCTCCTATGTTGAAGGATAGCATACTACATTGGGAATATAGGCTTATCAACAAATAACTATCATCCAAAAGAGAATGTGAAAAATATATAATTAGCAGGGGACTACTGAGATGTTGAGAGATTTTCCCTATTGCCTGAGTCCAAACATTTCACCCGCCCTTCATGATAGAGTCTTTTGATCTGTTGGTTATTTGTTTGTTTGTTCTTTTCCTTTCTTGCTAGGTATCAACTTTTTAAAATCTACATTCTATCTAGATTTAGAGATTATTTTTTATTCAATTCTTCAAGTAGGTCAAACCTCTGGTTCAGACTTTTCTGCTTCTCTTGCACTCTAACACAGGGCCAGGGTACTCCAGTTGGACTCCCAGCTCCTTCCACCCCTTCACCTGCCTATCCAGTCTTTATCTCTCATTCTGGCCACCATTTCTCCTAAGAACTCTCTTCTGACTATCCTAGTCCTCTGTCATCACAATGATCATATTTGGTTGAAAGGTCCTGTAAACTGAAATTGCCTATGTCCCTCCTGACTGTAAGCTCAGGGTAATTAGGAATCATTATTCTCTTGATCACTGTGAAGCCTCCAACAACTAGCACTGTAGCTTGCTCATAGCAATTGCTCAATTGTTGCCTGAATGAAAACTAAGGGAGAGAAAAAAGGCTTTTAGCTGATGAGATTGTGTATGTGGGTCAATCATCAAAAAGACGGTATTTGAATGACCTTTAAATGTGATTTTTTTTCCCTTTTCTACTCAACCACTCTGTGTGCACCACACACACACACAGTAGGTGCCAGTTCTTTTCTTCATGTTGAATGAAGATCCTAGTCTACATTTTGTATCCCAAACCAAATGTTTGGTAAAAGTTAGCTAAAATTTTTCATTTTATTAATTGGAAGATACTCATCCAAAGTAGGGTAGAAACAAAACAAAAATAATAATAAGCCATTAATAGTTATTTACTCTATGTTTGGGAACTTTTTGGCCCTTTTATATAGATTATTTCACATAACCCTTACAACAACCATGAAAGTTAAGTGTTCTGTTCCTTTAATGATAGGTAAATGGAACCTAGGAGAGAAGTAAC